CATGTCAACTCACACCACACACGCTTCCGACGATTTCGGTCGTGTAGCCACAGCGATCATACCGACGTCAGCCGCTACACAGCATTAACTCCGAAATTGACGAAAACGCAAACAGTTAACTCACGCAATAATTGCGACGACAGCAAAAGCTGTCCGCCACCCGGGGGGAGGGAGGCCACGGTCGATCTTGACCGTCGAGGGCAAGGATCCGTCGGTGCCGCAGGAGCGCCAGAGAAATTCATGGCCGCTAGGAGAAACTACCCGTTCTCCTGGCCGGCTACTGCGCTACTCCTGTCACCACGGCATCCTTCCCTGTCCCCCCCCCCCGAGGGGTAATACACTCTAAAAAATGGGTAACCTAGGAACTTAGGCTCTGATACCAAGTGTTATGAGTTGTACTAAGAAGAGTGCGCGGAAGACTTTATAAAAAGGATGAGAATTACAGAATGTTGAGAATGATAATGAAGCGAGCATTTATAGGGTCGAAACCGTGCTAGGCGAGGACCTCGATGTGCGTGGCTCGGGAATGTCGCAATTGGTGCGGGGCGACTCGGGGCTGGTTCGGTGCGAAAGTGTAGGCCGAGCCCAAACTGACGCGAACAGTTCGGGCTGTCCTCGCTAGGGACAGTCTCTAGTAATGAATTCTAATTTATTACAAACATGCTTCTCATTTCCCCAATCGCCCACTCTCACCGTACTCTCACCGTACTCTCGTGATACAACTCAGGAAAGCTCGATCAACTGACAATTCTGAGGGCGGGTCCCGAAAGTACATAAACAGTGTCGGGACCCAGTTTTACGTAATACAACACGTACAGCTGAACGGTACAAACACGTTCCAGGTACGTACACCTCACTACGGAAAACTCTGAAATCCAAAAAGTGGACAGAGACTCGCTGGTCTACAGTGCCGCGACCCGTAGCCTATATCTAGGCCTGTTACCAGGTCTACATTGCTGCTAAACACATTTCCCCCCTGATTTGCGACCGCAGGGTGAGTTCGCCCAAGGGAAATGCGGCGAATCAGGAACCCTTCGCTTCCTGTTCTATCCCTTTCAGGAAGTTGAAAGCTGTATCTCTCGCTGTCTATTCAGTACGTACCTCAAGTTGAGCAGCGCGTCCGTATCTTTTGTACAGCCTAGCGCCGTGTCCAGACGAAAGGGTTGGCGAGTGGCGAAACGCTAAATTGTGGTTACTTTTCACCGAATGAAATGTAATTGTACTTTCGGGACCCGCCCTGATCCACTGACAGGCCCGAACCGCTTCTGACAATTCTCAAAAGCGACCCGTGTAAGCACAGTGACATACCTGGTGTTTTCGCGCTTGCGTGCTGGCTGCCACCGCTCGTACCTTCTTCTCCCTTCCACCAGCTTCACTCGTCCGCGCCGACCGTAATTCACAGCAACCACCTCCCTGCTAACAACTCACCTCTCGCTCGCTCTGCTACAATCTTTCTGCAATCGCAACGTACCTGCTTCTTGCCACCGCCAGCTTCTCCTGGCCCTTCATGGCGCGTCCGCTGCGGTCGTACTCCACGGCCGTCTCCGTCTGCCCCAGCAGCAGCGCGCCCGTCACGCCGTCCGCCTCGGGATCCGCCGCCGCGTTGCCGTATTTCTCCCGCACCGCCTCGCGCTTCGCAGCCAGCAGCCGCTCCTTGCGCACCTTGAACTCGCGGTGCAGCAGCTCCGCCTGGCTCGGCGCGCCTTGCACGTGCACCTCCTCGCGCGCGTCGCGCGCCGCCTCGTTCGCGCGAGCCGCGTGCAGCGTGAGCTGACGAAACTCCACCGCCTGCCCGCTGATCCGATTATAATTATCCCCTTTATAAAACTTCTCGTCCGCGTCGCCTCCAGGATTCGGGTCCTCGCGCATCGACCGCGTCTTAGGGTCGTAGTAGGCGGAGTTGACGTCGAGATTAAGGAGGTATTTCGCCGTGTCCTCGCGGATCCGCAGGTTGCGAACCGTCCCGGTGCTGCCGCCTCCCGTCGTTCTCACGCGCTTCTCCACCTTGGCGAAATCCCGCTGCTCGCTCTCATCCACCCGAGCCTCATCCCTCTCCTCCTCTCCCCCTCCCTTCCCTTCTCCCTCTCCCTCCTCCCCGCCATCCCCCGCTTCCCCTGCTCCCCCCGCCTCCCCCCCCGCGCCACTGAGCCTCCGGAGCTGCTGCTCCTTGCGGAACCTCCGCCGCGCCTCTTCGCGCACGCTGTGCGCGGCGACGACGCGCGCGTACGTGGAGGGGTCGAAGCCGTTCCAGCGGTCGCGCTTGCCGTCGAAGTCGAGGTCGAACGACTCCACCTTCTCGTCGGGCGCAATAAATTGCGACGTGAACTTCGCGCCCAGCTTCCGCGGGCGCTCCGTGCAGGATTTGTGGTCGTGCGTCATGGCGCCGCAGCTGCATGCGTGCACGAGGGCATGTTTGACACGAGGATGGGAAGGGCGGAAGCAGAGGGAGGGGCATGGGAGGTCAATGAGGTGCCTCAAAACAGGGATCAAGCCCGTTCCGCTGGCCTCTCAGCGCGCTTGCCGTCGAAGTCGAGGTGGAACGACTCCACCTTCTCGTCGGGCGCAATGAACTTCGACGTGTACTTGGCGCCCAGCTTGCGCGGCCGCTCCGTGCAGGATTTATGGTCGTGGGTCATGGCGCCGCAGCTGCATGCGTGTGTGCGTGCGTGCACCCGTAAATCAGTAGCAACACGAGGGGGGGTTGGGGATGGGAGGAGAAGCGAGAGTCGTGAGGGGGATGGGGAGAGGAGAGCCATATCACGGGCGGGCCAGCTCGACCGCCTCCACCTTGTCGTCCGCCGCGATGGGCCGCTCTCCCATCTTCGTGGGCGTTCCGTGCAGGGGGGCCCGCGGCGTTGCGCGGCTGCGTGAGTGACAGGGGGAAAGAGGGTGGATGACTTATCGTTGTTTCTTATGACTTGTCGTTGTTCGTCATGGTTTCGCAGACGCATTAGGGGAGCGGAAGCAAGACAACAAGCATGCTAGGAGGTGCCTGGCACACAGGCGCAGCGCACGATACGTGCTCTGCGCTCTGGTCATACGGCATGGCTCTGGTCATACGGCATGGCTCTGGTCATACGGCATGGCTCTGGTCATACGGCATGGCTCTGCAGCTGCGAGCGTGATAGGATGGAGGGAGGGAAGGGGGGAGAGGCGAGCCATGGACAGAACTCTCTCTGGGGATTGAAACGGCCGAAAGGAAGATGAATCAGCACTCGAGACACGCACAAGTCCGCACTGGAGGAGCTCTCTCAACGCAGCACCGGGGGAACTCACTTGGAGTACGCGCCTTTGCGGTACTCACTTGGTGCACGCGCCTTTGCGGTACTCACTTGGTGCACGCGCCTTTGCGGTACTTGGTGGCTTGAAACACCTTAGCTCCGCGGTCGTACCAGTTCTTGCTCCCTCCACCCTCCGCCTTCCAATTGCGTTGGTGCTTCAAGCTCTGCACAAGCACGCACGCGGACGAATGAAACGCACAATGAGACACAACTAACTAACTTACCTTTTGCAATCAACGAGCTATTTTCCAAATAGGATGATTGAACTACTCGTTTCATGCATGCCTTGCTGCTGGTGGCCACACTAAACGTACTTCCGGATGTAGTATTCACCTCACTTCCATTCACTGTTCTATCCGCCTTGCGAGCCCGCTGACAGCGCGGGACACATCAACGCTCTTGGAACACGTCTTCGAAAACGAAAAAGCAGCGCCTATGCGCTTTGCAGGAGCTACTCACGGGGCGTTCGGCGTTGAGGTACCAGGGCGCGGACGACATGTACTGCGGGATGTGCGGGTTGATCTCTTTGCCGTCCTCATCCACCTCGGCCGGCACCAGCCCCGCCTTGCGCGCCTCCTCCAGCTCCTTGGCCTTCTTGTGGTCCTCGCGCGGCTTGAACCCCACCGCTGACGTCGCCATGACGATGACTGCGTGTTTTTTCTTCTTAGGAGTAGCAATGCGACCCTGGGGCCTCGATGCTTTTAGACCGCTGGTGGCGAGATGAAAAGTTCTAGCTTGATCGGATTCTTGTGGTTCCTCTGTGTGCCTGAATGAGGTATGCAAACCACGGAATTGGAATGAAGAGTGCGTCGTATGGCCCCCTGCTGAAACCAGTAGCTACTCAAACGGTTGTCGTTCTTGCAAAATGACCAACACAGCCCTAATACTCCGTGCGCAAAAATATAGAGAGCGCCTTCCCGGCAGATATTTGGCCACCAACTATGTGAAATGTATAATTAGCTTTGGTGTCTAAGAAATAACTCGCCTTCTCGTGGTATGGAGAGACTTTCGCAATGGTAGAGGCTTATGTGGGAAGGGAATGGTGATGGAAGGAGTTGGGAGCAAGGCATCTTCTTGCATTGGCCTCGTTTTCGCGTGCGTCGGTCAGGTCAAAAGGTCAGATGCCGTGATATGATTGGCTGAGACTGACGGTTAAGGTTGGCGTCGTACATTCGAGAAGCTACGATGAGGATGTGCGACTCGAACTCGTCATTTGAGCATCTATACGCGTCTTTGGCCTAGACATTGTAAGTGGTCTGTACCTGACATCGAATTACTAGAAATCGGGGTTCAGTCAAGATTACTAAAATGCAACAAGCATTTTCTATTCGCGTAATCCTATTTTGTATGTATTTTACAGGATCTGATGATGCTTGCTACAGAAGTTGCAATTGGACGTTTCCTGGTCCTACATAATATCCATGGGGGTTCAGATAATCTTGTTTGTTGGCTATTGACTCCAGGGTACACGAGTCATGAATTATGATGAACAATTATTCTAGCAAAAGGTAGAAGCCTAAAGTCAGGAAGATACTACATGCTACAGTAGCTGGTGCCCAAGCACTGCTACAGCTAACTACAGAAAGCTGAAGTTCCCTTAATGATTTTCGAGCATTTCGTATGCACAGCAGGCCATTTCAAGACGTGTACGAGAACTAGTGACCTCTCTGGAACTGGACCGGATGGGCCCTCCATTCCCATTCCAATCAGCCATGGCAGCTATGCCAGGGAGGGGGCCTGTGAGCGTGTGACAGAAGCAGCTTCAGCCGCTGCCTGAGCTGCGAGCTGGTCTGCTTTCTTTGCCTCGGCGATCAGCGCATGCAGAATGCGAAACACGTCCTTGCGGTTCTCCTCCCGGTGGCGGTACCTATAAATGCACATGCCCGACCATCCCCATACACACGCGCCCACATTTGCATGCCCACACATGTGCACCCGCATGCACATCCACCAAACTCGCATGCGCACACATACAGACGCATACACATACGCATGATTAAAACTCGTAACAGAGGGCGACGGAGGCAAAGTCAACTGAGAGAAACAAGAACCATGGAGCTTGGACCATAGGCGAAACTGGGTCCCATTCCACCTAAATTGGACCACTCTTTTGTGAGCCTCACCTCTCGCTGACGATGGTGAGCTCGTCGCGGTGGGCATTGTAGCGCCGCCCCACCAGCGCGAGCAGGCGCTCCCTGGCCAGGCGCGACAGCTGCAGCTCGCGCACAAACACGCTCACCTTCACCTTGCGATTCGCCGGGTGCCACGCGTCGCCTCCTGCAGGCAGCAAGGTTGAAGGGAGCAGACGGGGTGTGAAGCAGTTGTGGTGTGGGTGTGAAGCAGTTGTGGTGTGGGTGTGGGTCTGGTAGTGTATCCAAGCAGGCACGGGTGATCGCGGCAATGCCATGCAACATGGCAACACCAAGGCGCAGGGAATTGAACGGATTTAAGCCATATGGAGGACCATATGGCCATGCCATGCTATGCCATGCCATGCCATGCCATGCTATGCCATGCCATGCCATGCCATGCCATGCCATGCCATGCTATGTTGGCAGCAGTGAGCACCACTGCACTGCATGACATGCGGTGGACTCACCCGGCCCCAGCACCATGCGTGTCTCCCATCTCAGCTCTGGGCCCTCCCCTTCATCCTCCTCCTCCTCCCCATTGCCTCCTAATGCATCCGCTGCACAGTGCAAATGCAGGAGCCAGGACCAAAAAAATGGGGGGAAATGGCAGAGATTGTTATTGTAGCGACGAACGAAACGAGAGTGCAAGGAGGGTCAGTCACGGGCGTGGCACGAGCAAGCGAACCATTATAACGACCCGGCGCACCACAGCAGCAGCATGGCTACTCGCCTCGCCCTGCGTGTCATCTGCCGCGCTGCTCTCCACTTTTCCCCGGAGCATCTTTCTACCTCACCTTCACCCTGCCACCAACATATCCCTCACCTTGGTCCCCCTCAGCTATCTCGCGCCCATTAATCAAGCTTCATTTCACTACTCCGTTTCCACCTCCCCTTATCCCGTCCGCCCCCATTGATCCCCACCACCATGGACATTGTCATTGACAGGGGTGCCTCCACCACCGCCCGTCGTCATGCTGCCACTATCCGCTCCTTACCCACCCCCTTCCCTGTCCTTCGAGCTGACTCAACTTTTACAGTCCCCCATCACCGCTTTATCTCCCTCTGCTCTGCTTCCGTCACAGGGTTGCACATCCCCACACCACACGTCCCACCAACCTCCTCGTCCAGCAAGCTCTCCAGCGTGCTGCCATCGCCACAGCGTACCCTGCCTTTGCCTCTCACTGAAACCTGCTTCTATCGACCTCCGGATGCCTCCTTGCATGTGTTACCCTCTGCCCCACCACCCGTCTCTACACCTACCGTCCTCCCCCTCCCCTCCCCTCTCCCCCTCCGCCCCCCTTCCTACTGCCAGGCAATGCGCAGGGTCTCACAGTCACCCCGTCTGCCCCCTCTAACCCTAACTTCCCCGTCCCCCCTCCCTGTCTTTGTCGCTCCCTCACACACCCCTCTATTCCCCGCCACCACCAATGAGGACGTCCGAGCTTCACAACCCTCTGCGAAGCTGACTCCTCTCAACTCCCTCGTGGTCTCCCTCTCACCCTCCCACCACTGTCGCCCTCACCAGCCCCACCGTGTACCACATGTGATCATGGCAGATTCAAGCAGCTTCCTCATCCAAACAAACCTTCATCCTCCCACCCCGTCCCCGCTTGATCTTGTTCACATGGACTTGTGGGGTCCTAACTCTTACCCTACACGCAAGGGCCACCAGCACCTCCTTGTCCTCATCCGTGTGCATGCACCTCCTTGTCCTCATCCGTGTGCATGCACCTCCTTGTCCTCATCCGTGTGCATGCACCTCGATCACACCACTCACTCCCCCACGATCTGTCCCTTCATCCCTCAATCCGCACTTGTGATGCCATCTTTCTTGAGTCCTCCCCATTTTACACCTCCATTCCTCATACCCACCCTCCCCCCTCGTTCCCCGGCCCCTTGCATGGCACGATACAGCCTCACCTCCCCTGGCACCCACGCTCCTTCCTCCATCACACCCTGCTGTTCCTCTTCCTCCAGCTACCTGCTCCTCCTGTATCGACCACCCCCCGCGCGTCGTAAAGGTAGCGATCGGCACTCCCCCTCGTCCGCGCGCTCTCCCTACAGCACCCATCAACCCATGCCCTGAGTGCGCCCTACCTGACAGCATGCCCCACAGCGCGGGGTCGCCAAGCCACTTGTCCACCACACCCCGTGCATCGTACAGGTGGCGCCACTCGCCTTCATCCTCGGGCTCCTGGAAGCCCTCTACCTCCTCCTCGTTTCCCCCTCACCAGCGCACCTTGTACCACAAGGAGGGTTTCTCACCTTACCAACTCTCCTTCCTCCATCAGAGCCTACTGTTCCTCCCGGCCACCTTCCTTCAGCGTTCCCCTCACCTGACAGCATGCCCCATAGAGCGGGGTCCCCAAGCCACTTGTCCACCACCCCGCGCGCGTCATACAGGTGGCGCCACTCCCCTTCATCTGGTGGCTCCTGGAAGCCCTCCACCTCGTCCTCCACGTCGTCCCCGTACGCCCCGTACTGCCGCCGCCGCCGCTGCCGCCCCGCCCCCACGCCCTGCACCGCCGCCAGGTACGGCGCAATGGCCGCTGGCGGCGCTGCTGGACCCGCGGGGGGTTGGGTCCCGTGGGGAAGGTTGCGGTAGGGGGAATGGTTGGGGGCGGAAGGGGAATGGTTGGAAGCGGAAAAAAAATGGCTGGGGTTGGAAGGAGTGTCCGTAGTGAGGATGGCAGGTGAAGAGGGACTGTGACGCGCAACGAGTGGCAACGTGGGGGTGAGCGGAGAGCGCAAGAGGAAGACACACTCACACGCATCAGTGAGCAATGAGACCAACGACTTACACGCATCAGACGCTTCAGCAGCCATGTCACCGCCCGACGGTTCTCCCTCCACCGCCACAGCTGCCGCCGGCAACTCGCCGCCCTGACCGTCGGTTTCGCTGCCGTCATCCCCGCCGCCTCCCACGCCACTGACCACGCTACGCCACCGCACTCCGCCCGTCGCCCAACCTACACCTGCTTCTCCGCGTGCAACCCTCAAGCATCTCGCATCAGGCGGAAGTGGCCGGCTATCGTCGAAGACGCGCGAAGGCGCTTGCGGAGGGCATGCGGCCGAGTCGCGAAGATCGGATCTCGTCGCGGGGGTGGCGCCAGGCGATGAGTGCGCGGAAGGGACGAGAGCTGCTGGCGAAGCGGCCGCCTGAGGCAAATGGCGGATGGATCTGCGGATCGACGCGCACGTGACGCGCCACATGAGGCTGGCTCGACGTACGCGCAGCGCTGGGGATTGACGAAGGCGGAGTTGCTTTCGGGTCGGGGAAGGCAAACAGAGGTGGAGTTGTAGGTGCTGTGAAATTGGGGTCTTTCTTTGAACTCGTTTCAGACCGAGCTTCCTAGCGAGCAATGCAACCAGGCCTCAAACGAGAATGTGTTTTTTGTCAATTTAAAATTACAAAGCGCCCATTTAGCATGGGGATGTAGCTCAGATGGTAGAGCGCTCGCTTAGCATGCGAGAGGTATGGGGATCGATACCCCACTTCTCCATCCCTTTTCCATTTGGTTCCAAAATACATTTTCATCCGAGATTGACGGAGCCACTCCAAACCTTTATCGCGCTCCGCCACCCTCGCGCCATTCCCCAACCCGAACTCATCTCCGCCGAGGCCTTCGCCCTTTTTTCCAATCGCCCGTTCTCCCCTGCGTCGTGCCCCCTCTGCGCCATTCCCCTCCCTCCGCATTTCCCGCAATGTTCCCATTCGCCTCCCCGTAGTTGCGCGCTTCCCTCGCCATTCGACTCCCCGCTTCCCCTAGCCGCGCGCCCTCCCCCGCCCGCCTCCTTTGCGCTCCCCTGCCTCTACGCCACTCTCGCGCTCGCTGCCTCTACGCCGCCGTGTCCTCCCCCTCCGCCTTTGTTCCTGGAGGCGGAGGAGGCGGGGGAAGTGGGGGCGGGGATGCGAATAACGAAAGGGAACCGAGCTAGGCGCGCGACAGTTTGACGACGCGGCGTGGGGGGAGAGGGGAGACGGAGGAAGAGGGGGTGGGTCGGGTTGACCTGTTGGCGCTGGCAGCAGAGGCGGGAAGGGAAGGGTGAGAAGGATGCGACGCTGTACCCGGCACTGGATGACAGGTGGGAGAGTGGGCGGGTGGGCGGGTGGGCGGGTGGGCGGGTGGGCGGGAGTGCGGGAGGGCGGGTGGGCGGGAGGGCGGGTGGACGGTATGCACATCTACTATCCCCCACCCCCACTCTGCTCTCCCGTTTCCCCCAGCTCCCCACTGGTGGCGCATACAGCAGCGCTGCAGCAGGCGAGGCGAGGGTGCAGGCAGAGCGCGCCGAGCAGTACCTGCAGTGCAGGTTGCATTGCTGGCAGCATTTTGAGGCGCCTCAAAACGCGGCGAGCAGTACCTGCAATGCAGGTTGCATTGCTGGCAGCATTTTGAGGCGCCTCAAAACGCGGCGAGCAGTACCTTCAATGCAGGTTGCATTGCTGGCAGCATTTTGAGGCGCCTCAAAACGCGGCGAGCAGTACCTGCCGTGCAGGTTGCATTGCTGGCAGCATTTTGAGGCGCCTCAAAACGCGGCGAGCAGTACCTGCCGTGCAGGTTGCATTGCTGGCAGCATTTTGAGGCGCCTCAAAACGCGGCGAGCAGTACCTGCAGTGCAGGTTGCATTGCTGGCAGCATTTTGAGGCGCCTCAAAACGCGCCGAGCAGTACCTGCAGTGCAGGTTGCATTGCTGGCAGCATTTTGAGGCGCCTCAAAACGCGGCGAGCAGTACCTGCAGTGCAGGTTGCATTGCTGGCAGCATTTTGAGGCGCCTCAAAACGCGGCGAGCAGTACCTGCAGTGCAGGTTGCATTGCTGGCAGCATTTTGAGGCGCCTCAAAACGCGGCGAGCAGTACCTGCAGCGCAGGTTGCATTGCTGGCAGCATTTTGAGGCGCCTCAAAACGCGGCGAGCAGTACCTTCAATGCAGGTTGCATTGCTGGCAGCATTTTGAGGCGCCTCAAAACGCGGCGAGCAGTACCTGCCGTGCAGGTTGCATTGCTGGCAGCATTTTGAGGCGCCTCAAAACGCGGCGAGCAGTACCTGCCGTGCAGTTTGCATTGCTGGCAGCATTTTGAGGCGCCTCAAAACGCGGCGAGCAGTACCTGCAGTGCAGGTTGCATTGCTGGCAGCATTTTGAGGCGCCTCAAAACGCGCCGAGCAGTACCTGCAGTGCAGGTTGCATTGCTGGCAGCATTTTGAGGCGCCTCAAAACGCGGCGAGCAGTACCTGCAGCGCAGGTTGCATTGCTGGCAGCATTTTGAGGCGCCTCAAAACGCGGCGAGCAGTACCTGCAGCGCAGGTTGCATTGCTGGCAGCATTTTGAGGCGCCTCAAAACGCGGCGAGCAGTACCTGCAGCGCAGGTTGCATTGCTGGCAGCATTTTGAGGCGCCTCAAAACGCGGCGAGCAGTACCTGCCGCGCAGGTTGCATTGCTGGCAGCATTTTGAGGCGCCTCAAAACGCGGCGAGCAGTACCTGCCGTGCAGGTTGCATTGCTGGCAGCATTTTGAGGCGCCTCAAAACGCGGCGAGCAGTACCTGCCGTGCAGGTTGCATTGCTGGCAGCATTTTGAGGCGCCTCAAAACGCGGCGAGCAGTACCTGCAGCGCAGGTTGCATTGCTGGCAGCATTTTGAGGCGCCTCAAAACGCGGCGAGCAGTACCTGCAGCGCAGGTTGCATTGCTGGCAGCATTTTGAGGCGCCTCAAAACGCGGCGAGCAGTACCTGCAGCGCAGGTTGCATTGCTGGCAGCATTTTGAGGCGCCTCAAAACGCGGCGAGCAGTACCTGCAGCGCAGGTTGCATTGCTGGCAGCATTTTGAGGCGCCTCAAAACGCGGCGAGCAGTACCTGCAGCGCAGGTTGCATTGCTGGCAGCATTTTGAGGCGCCTCAAAACGCGGCGAGCAGTACCTGCCGTGCAGGTTGCATTGCTGGCAGCATTTTGAGGCGCCTCAAAACGCGGCGAGCAGTACCTGCCGTGCAGGTTGCATTGCTGGCAGCATTTTGAGGCGCCTCAAAACGCGGAGAGCAGTACCTGCAGTGCAGGTTGCATTGCTGGCAGCATTTTGAGGCGCCTCAAAACGCGGCGAGCAGTACCTGCAATGCAGGTTGCATTGCTGGCAGCATTTTGAGGCGCCTCAAAACGCGGCGAGCAGTACCTTCAATGCAGGTTGCATTGCTGGCAGCATTTTGAGGCGCCTCAAAACGCGGCGAGCAGTACCTGCCGTGCAGGTTGCATTGCTGGCAGCATTTTGAGGCGCCTCAAAACGCGGCGAGCAGTACCTGCCGTGCAGGTTGCATTGCTGGCAGCATTTTGAGGCGCCTCAAAACGCGGCGAGCAGTACCTGCAGTGCAGGTTGCATTGCTGGCAGCATTTTGAGGCGCCTCAAAACGCGCCGAGCAGTACCTGCAGTGCAGGTTGCATTGCTGGCAGCATTTTGAGGCGCCTCAAAACGCGGCGAGCAGTACCTGCAGCGCAGGTTGCATTGCTGGCAGCATTTTGAGGCGCCTCAAAACGCGGCGAGCAGTACCTGCAGCGCAGGTTGCATTGCTGGCAGCATTTTGAGGCGCCTCAAAACGCGGCGAGCAGTACCTGCAGCGCAGGTTGCATTGCTGGCAGCATTTTGAGGCGCCTCAAAACGCGGCGAGCAGTACCTGCCGCGCAGGTTGCATTGCTGGCAGCATTTTGAGGCGCCTCAAAACGCGGCGAGCAGTACCTGCCGCGCAGGTTGCATTGCTGGCAGCATTTTGAGGCGCCTCAAAACGCGGCGAGCAGTACCTGCCGCGCAGGTTGCATTGCTGGCAGCATTTTGAGGCGCCTCAAAACGCGGCGAGCAGTACCTGCAGCGCAGGTTGCATTGCTGGCAGCATTTTGAGGCGCCTCAAAACGCGGCGAGCAGTACCTGCAGCGCAGGTTGCATTGCTGGCAGCATTTTGAGGCGCCTCAAAACGCGGCGAGCAGTACCTGCAGCGCAGGTTGCATTGCTGGCAGCATTTTGAGGCGCCTCAAAACGCGGCGAGCAGTACCTGCAGCGCAGGTTGCATTGCTGGCAGCATTTTGAGGCGCCTCAAAACGCGGCGAGCAGTACCTGCAGCGCAGGTTGCATTGCTGGCAGCATTTTGAGGCGCCTCAAAACGCGGCGAGCAGTACCTGCAGCGCAGGTTGCATTGCTGGCAGCATTTTGAGGCGCCTCAAAACGCGGCGAGCAGTACCTGCAGCGCAGGTTGCATTGCTGGCAGCATTTTGAGGCGCCTCAAAACGCGGCGAGCAGTACCTGCAGCGCAGGTTGCATTGCTGGCAGCATTTTGAGGCGCCTCAAAACGCGGCGAGCAGTACCTGCAGCGCAGGTTGCATTGCTGGCAGCATTTTGAGGCGCCTCAAAACGCGGCGAGCAGTACCTGCAGCGCAGGTTGCATTGCTGGCAGCATTTTGAGGCGCCTCAAAACGCGGCGAGCAGTACCTGCAGCGCAGGTTGCATTGCTGGCAGCATTTTGAGGCGCCTCAAAACGCGGCGAGCAGTACCTGCAGCGCAGGTTGCATTGCTGGCAGCATTTTGAGGCGCCTCAAAACGCGGCGAGCAGTACCTGCAGCGCAGGTTGCATTGCTGGCAGCATTTTGAGGCGCCTCAAAACGCGGCGAGCAGTACCTGCAGCGCAGGTTGCATTGCTGGCAGCATTTTGAGGCGCCTCAAAACGCGGCGAGCAGTACCTGCAGCGCAGGTTGCATTGCTGGCAGCATTTTGAGGCGCCTCAAAACGCGGCGAGCAGTACCTGCAGCGCAGGTTGCATTGCTGGCAGCATTTTGAGGCGCCTCAAAACGCGGCGAGCAGTACCTGCAGCGCAGGTTGCATTGCTGGCAGCATTTTGAGGCGCCTCAAAACGCGGCGAGCAGTACCTGCAGCGCAGGTTGCATTGCTGGCAGCATTTTGAGGCGCCTCAAAACGCGGCGAGCAGTACCTGCAGCGCAGGTTGCATTGCTGGCAGCATTTTGAGGCGCCTCAAAACGCGGCGAGCAGTACCTGCAGCGCAGGTTGCATTGCTGGCAGCATTTTGAGGCGCCTCAAAACGCGGCGAGCAGTACCTGCAGCGCAGGTTGCATTGCTGGCAGCATTTTGAGGCGCCTCAAAACGCGGCGAGCAGTACCTGCAGCGCAGGTTGCATTGCTGGCAGCATTTTGAGGCGCCTCAAAACGCGGCGAGCAGTACCTGCAGCGCAGGTTGCATTGCTGGCAGCATTTTGAGGCGCCTCAAAACGCGGCGAGCAGTACCTGCAGCGCAGGTTGCATTGCTGGCAGCATTTTGAGGCGCCTCAAAACGCGGCGAGCAGTACCTGCAGCGCAGGTTGCATTGCTGGCAGCATTTTGAGGCGCCTCAAAACGCGGCGAGCAGTACCTGCAGCGCAGGTTGCATTGCTGGCAGCATTTTGAGGCGCCTCAAAACGCGGCGAGCAGTACCTGCAGCGCAGGTTGCATTGCTGGCAGCATTTTGAGGCGCCTCAAAACGCGGCGAGCAGTACCTGCAGCGCAGGTTGCATTGCTGGCAGCATTTTGAGGCGCCTCAAAACGCGGCGAGCAGTACCTGCAGCGCAGGTTGCATTGCTGGCAGCATTTTGAGGCGCCTCAAAACGCGGCGAGCAGTACCTGCAGCGCAGGTTGCATTGCTGGCAGCATTTTGAGGCGCCTCAAAACGCGGCGAGCAGTACCTGCAGCGCAGGTTGCATTGCTGGCAGCATTTTGAGGCGCCTCAAAACGCGGCGAGCAGTACCTGCAGCGCAGGTTGCATTGCTGGCAGCATTTTGAGGCGCCTCAAAACGCGGCGAGCAGTACCTGCAGCGCAGGTTGCATTGCTGGCAGCATTTTGAGGCGCCTCAAAACGCGGCGAGCAGTACCTGCAGCGCAGGTTGCATTGCTGGCAGCATTTTGAGGCGCCTCAAAACGCGGCGAGCAGTACCTGCAGCGCAGGTTGCATTGCTGGCAGCATTTTGAGGCGCCTCAAAACGCGGCGAGCAGTACCTGCAGCGCAGGTTGCATTGCTGGCAGCATTTTGAGGCGCCTCAAAACGCGGCGAGCAGTACCTGCAGCGCAGGTTGCATTGCTGGCAGCGCCGCCGTGCGGGGGAGTGAGGGTGAACCGGAGATGGGTAAAATGGAAGAGGGCACGGGCAGAGCTCGACGAGCAGCGGCTGTAGGCTACCGTCAACGCCGCCGTGCGGGTGAGATAGAGGGGTGGTGGTGGGATAGAAAGGGGTGCATCACGACTGTTCACCAAGAATCCTGATCTGGACCCCTGGTGTCCGTCCAACCCTTGTTTCTCCCACCCGCACGCACTTACTAGTCCAGGATGGGGCAAGTGCGTGTGAGGGGCCACTAGGAGCCTACAGTCGTGTGAAGGTGCAGTATGGACGAGTAATGCGGGGTATCTCGCGCACGGCCCTGCACGGCAATACCAGTGCGAGCTTGTCCATCCATGGAGTCGGTGAGGTTGAGGTGAGGCGGTGAGCACGTGCAAGTGAGGCCACTATGGAGAGCATGCCGTTGCGCGTTGGTGTTACTGAATCAGCGGTCATGTTTGTTACAGCATGGTCGCTCCTTCGCCTGAATTCTCATTTCACACTTGTGTCTAGTATCTCCCGCATCTCTCCCTCACCCCTCCCAATCCCCACAAACTCCTCCCTCCCCACCAGACACCCTTATTATTCATTCCCCATCCCCACCCCAACCCCATCCCAATCCCCACGGCCGCCAAGGCGTGCAGCAACTGCATGTGGACCGTGCATCGCTGGGGGCAGCATCGCTGGGGGCAGCATCGCTGGGGGCAGCATCCCCCTGCTGCAAACCCTGGCTGCTTCACTTATATGTCGCGCTGCCACGTGGCAATGAAAGCCTTGTGCAGATCCACGCCACGCTGGCAGCTGCGCCACGTGTCATTGTGGGAGTGGTGGACGTGGCAGGGAGTGGTGGTGGGAGTGAGGTGGAGGAAATTGCGCGGGTGGAAGAGCAGCGGCTGCAGATGTATGTGAGGGTGTGGGGGGTGCAATGGGGGTCCTGAAGAGGAGGCTGTGAGGGAAGCAGCGATGAGGGAGACAGTGGGGGAGGTGGTGGGTGAGGCGGTGGGGTGGGGGAGGCGGTGGGGAAGGCGGTGGGGTGGGGGAGGCGGTGGGGAAGGCGGTGGGGGAGGCGGTGGGGGAGTGCATGGATGTCTACTTGCTGGCAGAAGGGCTGCAGACGCGCTTCCACATGGGTGCGTGGCAGGAGGAGTAGGACTCGAGGGCTGGTGGGGCTCGATCTTGCACCCATGGCCACATCGAGAACCTTCTCCCTCTCCCTCTCCCTCTCCCTCTCCCTCTCCCTCTCCCTCTCCCTCTCCCTCTCCCTCTCCCTCTCCCTCTCCCTCTCCCTCTCCCTCTCCCTCTCCCTCTCCCTCTCCCTCTCCCTCTCCCACTTCCCTACCTACCTCCCCACGCACCATGACAACCGGAGCAACAGCAGGGTCTGCACTTCATTCCTAACAATCCCTTCCCCCTCCTCTCCACCGCCCCCTCCCTCTCACACCCCGCCTGCGCGCAGCGGCGCAGAGGCAGCAGCAGGCGGACAGGGAGGCGCAGGTGAGGCAGTTGATGCTGGTGCAGGTGAGGCAGCAGGGAGTGGTGGGGCAGGCTCATCCTCACGGGGCAGCCGGCCAGTGGCAAGGTCCACAACATGCCGGACAGGCCAGGTGCGTACCCGGTGCAAGGGTGAGGTGGGGACACTGAAAGTGGTCCACGCTGCATGTGTGGGGAGGAGGCGATGCTGTGAGCGAGTGGCTCAATCTTGAGAGTGCGTGTATGAGGTGTTGATGCACCGAGGCGACTTTTGAGTCGACTCACAAGTCATTCAGTTGAAAGGGGTGCGTCAAGCACTATGGGCTTCAGTTGCATGCAAAACAGAACAGTCCATGGAGCATCGAGGCACATGGCAATCATTCCCTGGTATCCGGATGCTGCTCTTTTGATTCCACCACAAGCTCCAGAGAGAGAAGCCATGAGGTACAACGTACCAATAGAGGACACGTCATGCGTTCAGAGAAGTGATGAACAGGGTAAGGAAGTTGCAGGAGATTCTCCTTGCGCTCAGCCGGAAGTTGCAGGAGATTCTCCTTGCGCTCAGCCGGAAGTTGCAGGAGATTCTCCTTGCGCTCAGCCGGAAGATTATTGCAGTGGATTGGAGATCATTGTGGAACGCGTTTGCGTGCAGTCGGCGTCTGTGTGACTCGCAAGAAATAAAGAGCATTACCATGAAGCTTGTTGTGATGCAAGAGCTCTGTGACCTTTGCCTCTCTTTACCACTTGCAAGCACTTGCTCTCACAATCTAATTCACTATATTCTTGCATTGTCCCCTGTTCCTGACCTACCGTTTATTCCTTTCTCATTTTTTCAACAGCTGAGTCATAGTTCTCCTCCCGCCCATCTCCACTTACCCTGCTCCTCATCATCTCTCTTCCATTCATGTTCATCCCCGTCAATCCATACATCCCCGCACGCGCCAGGGAAGTCGAAGCTTGCTGAGTTCCTCTTCTAATACCTGCCTTTCCAGGCCTGGCTCGACTCCGAAGGGCCCCACCCGACCACCCCAAGGCAGTCGCCCACGTGGAGGAACAGTGCGCAGTGCTGGCAGCCGCCACATCAGCCGCCACGTCAGCACAGCCGACCCTGAAAGCGACGGAAGAGTGGCTGTAGGAGAAGTGTGGTTGCGCCTCCCCCACAGCAAGTGAACAGAGGAGCAGAGCGCCCTCAGGAGCGATACGATGTTGTTGCCAATGTGTCCGGGTGCCCCAAAGCACGTGCCCCAAAGCACGTGCCCCAAAGCACGTGCCCCAAAGCACGTGCCCCAAAGCACGTGCCCCAAAGCACGTGCCCCAAAGCACGTGTGGCAGAAGCTCCCGCAGCGGTAAGCTGGCACGCTGCCCCACCCCCCACCCAATGTGTCCTTCATCCTCACATTCAACGCGTGGACCGAGCACGTGCAGCAGCTGGTAACCCGCCTGTATGCGCACACACACGGGATGGCTGGGACTGGTGCACTGCCGGGCATCCGGGCGGAGATGCTGGGGGCATGAGGCAGGCGAAGGGGACCTTGGGGGTGCTGGCGCGCCTGGGCACTGCACTACCCCTCTCATGTTCAGCCACCCGGGGAAGGGGGTAGGCAGCGTTGCACGGGAGGGAGCGGTGGGATGAGGCTGCTGTGCGGCGAGGCAGGGCCGATGTCATGAGCGACTAGCACTCTGCTCGCGTGCCTGGCTCTTGGGCTACCACGTGGGTGGGTGGTGGGACAGCAGATGGGTGGGTGGTGGGATAGCAGGTGGGTGGGTGGTGGGATAGCAGGTGGGTGGGTGGTGGGATAGCAGGTGGGTGCTGGAAGCAACAGTCTGTAGCTGTTTATAGGTGTTTGCTATAGCTGTCAGGTGGGCGGTCACATGGGTGGTGGGTTGTCACATGGGTGGTGGGTTGTCACATGGGTGGTGGGTTGTCACATGGGTGGTGGGTTGTCACATGGGTGGTGGGTTGTCACATGGGTGGTGGGTTGTCACATGGGTGGTGGGTTGTCACATGGGTGGTGGGTTGTCACATGGGTGGTGGGTTGTCGCATGGATATATAAGCATGGCAAGGTTACGAGACGCTGTACATTACAACGGCCTAACGATTTCGCACATTGGCATGTTCCTCAGAGGAGCAAACAAAGGAACTTACAAGCGTACACAGGTTAGTATTTGGACTTGAATAAATACAAGAACGTATATTCTATATTGGTGGTGACACCATGTACAACCACCATCTCTTATCTATTTCTGCGCAAACTGACAGATCATGTCCTTTTTATATACATGATATACTGTAGTACATGGCGTTCACTTTATCCGCTCCTGTATTGACTGTTTTACGGTACCGTAATTGTTCCAGCTGAATGATACTATGCATCCAGCAGGTTCTAGGCCCTTGGTATATTTGCATTCCACACAAGGGTAGCCAGCAGCTGGGCCTCAAAAAGTCTTCCTCCTGTGGAGCAAAGGGGAGGTTACATGGAAGCATCCAAACCGTCTCGGAAGGCAGTCCAGGCCCTTCAAAAACAGCTGGTGCTGTCTCTCTGCTGCACTCGGTGCTGGCCAGCAACCCACAGCCTGAGTGGATTTCCCCAGCACAGTGTGAGGTCCTCTACGCCCGGGCTCGGTGAATTTAGACAACGCAGGTGCAGCAGAATGTTGGGCAGAAGAGCGTGAGATGTGGCATGCCTCCTCATCAGTGGAGCTAACCACGTGTTCCCCCTCCTGCTCATCGATGCTTGTAGCATCACAATCGCCAACATACCCCCTCCCATCCTCGTCCTCTTCCTCGTCATCCTCCTCCTCCCCCTCTACAGTCACATGCAGGCCTGCCAGTGTTCGGATGTTAGACAGAATGGAATGAAGCAGAAGAAGGCCTTCAGGTGTTTTCTCTGCAATTCTAACGTTAAGTGTTTCTAGCTGGGGCCACAAATGATCGCTGTTGAGTGCACCAGACAATTTGCATTTCCATTGTGACTGCAGAAGACCGGTCACTGCAGCCGAGTCAACCATACTTTGCCACGCCAGCGCACCCAGCCGCAAACTTTTCAACCCCGGGCAATTCCGCGCAAGCCAGGGCAGCGAAGAAACTTTGGGCACGCCCAACATGCTGCTGTTGGAAAAATAATCGAGTGAGAGCGACTCAAGCGTAGCCGAATTGGACGAGATTAAGGTTTCAGTGGCGGCCCAGTTGAGCGAACCCGCGCGGAGGTCGATCGACACGAGCCGGCTGGAGTGAGGAGCGGAGACAAGCAGGCAGTTGGCGGAAGCGACGGAGAGCTGGCGAAGGTTGGCCGCATCTCGGATGGATAGCACTCGAAGGAACATGTCGCGGTGAGAGAGTGTTTCGAGGGAGCGCGCGGAGTGAATCGTGACGGATTCTGCTCGGATGTAGGAGAGCGAGAGGTGCTGGAGGGACGGCGGAAGGCGCAGTTCTAGGCAAGGGGAACCCGAGGCCATGAAAATAGAGAGATGGCGGAGGTTCGGCGCGGCTTCAAGCACGGCGTGAAGTGCAGCTGGAGACGCGTGCAGCCAGGAGAGCGAGAGGTGCTGCAGGGCCGGCATGCACTGGAGAGCGGTGACTAGGGTCGGCGCGGAGAGGGACACGTGGCCCAAAGAGAGCGAGCGCAGATTGGTGCAGTGGCGGGAAATGTGTGCGAGATGGAGACTCGCGTCCTCCTCCTCCCACAAATTCACCACCACACTCCCACCACCGCTGTCGCTGGTGCCGCTGACGCAACAGTCGTTGTTGCCGTGAGGGCGCTTCGGGGAAGTAACGGTGGGAAGTGCGCGGGAGAGAGTGAGAGAGAGCAGAGACGCTCCGGCGTGGCGCATCCACGCGTCGAAGATGAACTCCCGCGGATGGCGGGGCGGGGGGAGGGGCGCAAACGCGCCAGGGGCGCAGCCATGCTGTCCGCACTGGCAGGCACAGCTTTCAGAGCCCCCTGGGTGTTCTGCTGACTCAGCAAAATCAGCGGGACTTCTGCAGGGAGTGGAAGGTACGAGGCTTGGGGAAACGGAGCGTGCACTGGGACCGGGACGCTCGCCTGAGTTTCCGTGACATCTGCCTGACGGCGCCTGGCTGGGGCAGCATGATGGTCCACCAACACTAGCAGGCGGTGCAGGTGGCGAGATGACGGTGAGGTGGTGCAGCGCTCGCGTGCGGAGGACCATTCGTGAGGCCTGGCGCTAACGTGACGGTGGGAGGGGGGGAGTGGGGAGTGGGGGGGAAGAGGGCGGGATGGAAGTGAAAGATTAGAATAGAAAGCGTGAGCTAAAAGAAAAGCAAAGAAATTGTATAAACGAATCATATCTCAGTCTTCTAATACACTGAATTTTGAGGAATTCAAGCCGCCGCTGACCCTTCCCTCATATGGCGCCATGTGGACTCACTGCGGTCTGGCAAACTCACCTCAAATGTCAAGAAGGGCGTCTCGTTAGTCGCCGCGCCGCTGCCACTCGGTCCCACGCACAGCGCCGGCAGGTTCCGCGTCACTTCGTTCCACCGCTGGCACGTCATCGCGGCCCGGGTGACGTCACGCGCCGCGCTGCCTACACGCGAAAGGATCGCGAGCAGCAGATCGTCGGGGAGACTCGCGAAGGGATCCATCGACGATCCGTCGCTGAGCCGTCGCTGAGCCGTCGCTGAGCCGTCGCTGAGCAGTCGCTGAGCTCAAAGCGATCAGCGGAAAAGGCGAGTGGGCTGGGAAGATGATGGTGGGTGCTAGTGTTGGCGATACGTGTGAGAAAGGCACTCAACCTCCGTTTGCACCTTGAAAGTGCAACTAGAAAACCGAATGATAAGCAGTGCTAGTGGCGATCAATTTAGGGAGCAGCATCCCTACTAGTTTCAGCTGCATACAACGGCGAGCTACTATCGAAACTTCGCAGACGTGACTCGAGTTTCAAACAAACGACTGGAGGAGAGCAGCGCGGGAAGCGCGGCGCGATAGCATTCGAGCAATCCGAACCGTCGCTCGTTTTTCGCAAAATGTATTTCCGAATCGGCTCTGGTGCCACAGCAGCACTCCTGGCAGGAGTTCCGTCAGAACTTGGATTGACGGTTCCTGTCGAAGACGACCTGGCGCTTCACAGGCGCGGTGCCACGTGGGCACACAGTCATCATTCCAACACCGCGATCAAGCATTTCTCGACCCAACACGTGGCTCCGCATCCAACAGCGTAATGCTTGGCCTCACAATCGCGTGCTCATGGCACCCTAAGCCCTCCAAAATC